ATATAGATCTCTTTTACTTTTACATCACATAAGCTTTAATAACCAATTTTAAATTATATAAATACAAACTCGACATTCCACTCAATCAACTTTATTCTAAATTAACTCTCTTCAACTAATGAATTCAATCACCAAATGAGTTTTCCTATGTGAAAGTCCTTATCTTCCTTAAGAGTTCTTAAGTTCCATTTTTTGGATTTCGTTCTTCTTGATTTCTTTCGCGTCTTCCTTTTGTTGTGGTTCTTCTCTTGTTGTCTCCTTCCTTTGTCTTAGGAGTTTAGCCCGTGTCATTCATCTGAGAGGGTCGGGGGAGGGTTAGGTGGGAGCTCTAAAGGTTTTGGTGTATTTGGGGATTTTTAACCTAGGTCTTTATTTTCTTTGCAGGTCTGTGCGACGATCGATCATCTGTGGCCTTAGTGAGATTTGAAGATTCCTGAGTAGCATGGAACGGAAGGTTATAGATAAACTGAATAGACTCGCATTATCGGAGATAAAGAGAGCAGGAGTGACTCTGTCCACATCTGATATTGAGCCGGGTATCCATGAATGTGAACTTAGCCTCATTGGTAAGGTCATAGGAGATAAAAAAAGCTAACCTTGGTGGGCTAAAGGAAACATTGGTGATTATATGGAGACTTAGTAGGCCATTCTCTGTTCGAGCATTGGGTCCAAATTCTTTCCAGTTCCTGTTCCAGTCAGCCGAAGATAGCCAAAGTCTTCAAAGGAAAAGCATGGTCCTTCGATGGGAAATACTTGGTGTTTAAAGAATGGAAGAAATAGGTGGACTTCAGGAATGAGGAGTTTAGAGTAGCCTTGTGGATCCAAATTTATAAATTACCACTTCATTGGATCTCTGAAGAAACGGGCATGAAAATTGGTAAAATGTTTGAAGAGATTCTGGATGTGAATGTACAAGGTGCTAGTATTTCTAGTGGAAAGATGATCAGAATCTTAGTTGAAGTGAATGTCTCTGAGGCTATGGTGAGGGGTACAACCATCAAGCTTGGAGATGAAGAAGACTGGATTGATTTTAGGTATGAAAACCTCTTAACTTTCTGTTTCTATTGTGGTTTCATTGGTCATAATGATAAGCATTGTGAAGTTAAAACATCTGATTTAAAGAGGAACCTGTTGAGAACTGGGTAATTTGGGGAGTGGCTTAGGGGGTCATATGGAGCGTTTTTTTAAGCTAGGGATAGAAAATCACCAAGTCCTTCTAGGGGTAATGTGAATTCTGAGTCTAGCAAAGCTAGAAAATTAGGGGAGGAAGAGGATAGGCCTAATGCTAGGGGCAGCTAGGTCTAGTGGATGGGGTTGTGGGTAAGGGTGGAGAGGATGAGAGGGCTAGTATTAAAGAGTCTCGGCTAAGTGATGTAGAGCAGATTCCTCAAGGACATGAGGGGTGTGGTGGTGGTGAGGTTAGGAGTGTTGGGAAAGAGATGGTGAGTGTGGAACCCATGACCCTAAATAGTGATCAAGATAAAAAGATTGAGGGTAATAACCTTATCAATATCCCTATTCAGCAAGTCTCTGGCCAACCCTCTACTAGTAGAGGCCATAGACCTTTTGTCAGAATCTCTAGAAGCAAAGGGCTAGAGGCTCAGCAGGGGAGGGGGAAGAGTCAGAGCCTTTGTGTCATAGAGTAGGGTGTGGCTCTTGGGTTGA